CCATGACTTCAAGCACTTCCGGTAACCCCTAACCCTCCAGGTACCTACTATACAGGGCCCTAGGGGCTCTAGTACCCTATATAGCCTATATAGTAGGTACCTGGAGGGTTAGGGAACAAGAAGGATCCTGCTATTTAGCAAAAAGGGTTAGCATCAGAATGATCGTGTGAGCACTACTTGCAAGAAGCGGAAGAGTGATTAGGTAGTATTCTTAGGGGTACCCCTTAAAGGGCACCCCTTCTGAACCCTACTTTTGGCTCTCTTAAAAGGGACCTTACTGAGAGGGTCTATATCCCCAAGGGTCCCCCTAATCCTAGCTCCCATGATGCATGCAGTACTGCAGCTCATCGAAGGCTTACTTACCGAGCCCAGGTCTTCTGAATCTTCAACACCTCATCGTGGCCAGGAGGACCTCCGGAGGCTTCTCCGAGTTTAGGGTTTAGGGTTTTAGGGTTTAGGGTTTAGGGTTTAGGGTTTCGGAAGTTCGAGATGGAGGTTTATACAGGGGCCTGAGTAGTGATCTTATTGCCTAGAAGGGTTCCTTCTTGTTGTATCCTCAGCTTGCCATACAAGCCCGCGACCCAAATCACTTCCGGAGTTTCGGGTTTAGGGTTTAGGAGTCTTAGCCTTGAGGGCTTGAGGGCGTTAGGGCCGTTAGGGCTAGGGCTTCAGAGTTTAGGGTTCGGGTCAAGCAACGCTATGGGAAGCAGAGGGACCAACATTAATTAGGATTCAGGATCCAAGCCGTCAAAGCTTGTAGCTCTGTGGTTGCGCGGTTTGAGGCTTTCGGCTCAGATGGTGTTTCATGAGACAGGATTTCAATTGGGGTTCTGATGTGTGCGTTCGCGAGGGCTCCTCAATGGGGCTTACCTCCTGGGGATACGGAGAAAAACAACATGTCTCAATGCGGCGAAGCCTGGGGCTGAAAGGACAAGCCAGATCCCAGATGCAGAACACAAAGCCGTCGGGCAGCCTGCAAAGCCGCCTCGTCCACCTGGTGGAGAGCTGCAGAGGGATGGTGCTGTTGCTTGTGCTTAGACAAAGCAAGTCCTGAAGTCGTGAGACCAGCACGCAGCACTGAACAACATATAGAAAAGCTGTGAAAGCATCTCCCACATGGGATGTCTGGCAAGTTTACGATAGCCTTTTCCTTCCACCCTACAGCCTGAACCTCAAGTATTTTGAACTCTGAACCCTGAACCCGACCCCGTAGCAACAAACAGTACGAGTACCTGCAGATCCAGCATTCCGACACAAAACAGCAAGTCTAAAACCCTATAGTCCTTCAATGCCCAGGACCCGAAATCCCTGAATCCTATATACCCTAAGACCTACGACCCTGAACCCCACCCCAAACCCTAAACCCAAATCGCTTGCAGCCTGCGCCCTGTTCCATGGCCACTTTTGGCGGAGTCATGTCGGCCCCGAGCCTCGGGGAATAACTAACTTTTCAAGCTGCTTTACAGCCTGTGACCCTGTGCGTGTTTGGATTTTATGAGGGGCTTCGGCTTGAAGGGTTTCGCACGGACGTCAGGAGGCCGGATGCGACCCCTGCCTGGAGTGTTTGAAGTGGCTCGGCGAAGCCCGGCTTGGCCTAAGCCTAATGTCTGCGTGCCTGAGCAGTGCAACACATGCCTCTGCGGCCAAGTGTAGAGACCCAACAATCATCCAGCCACAACAAAACGCCGATCAAAGGACTCAGAAGGACGACCTATCCTCAACACCGAAGGCCAAACCCTCAGTTCCATCGTCTGAAAAGGCAAAGAGAAGGGCTCTCAGACCTCAGCACAACCTATAACCATACCTTAAAGGAAATTCCTAGCCCCAACGCTCTGAAACTTGACTACCGGCTGAACCCTAAACCAAAACAAACATACCCAGAGACTCCAATACCCCTTAATTAAGGAATATACCTTAAATCTTATTAGGGATCCTACTATAATTTAAGGTATATTGCTTAATGAAGGGGTCTTGGAGTCTCTGGGTACCGTTAAGGACGCACCCTGCTGTGCCAAGGAGCAGCATGCGACTTGGATGCTGCGATTGCTCGCGCCTGGCGCAGAGGACTAAGTCTAAGTCTTACCACCGCCCCAAGTTTGGGCACACAAGCGGTCCAAAGTTTAGGATTTGGGCATTTTGGGCGAGTTCGGGCTTTGGGGAAGTTGAAGGTTTATGGATTTGACGCCAGGGTTCAGGGGACAGGGAGGGGTTAGAAAAGGCACACCCGAGAGCTCAGAAGTCAACGGGTAGATCTGTAAAATCCCCAGAATGGTACGGCACCCTTATAAAGGGACCCTAAAAGAGACCCCACGTTAGAGACCTGCCCATTTGTTGCCAGATCAATGTTGCTGTTTCAGTTGCAGGACCAATGCGTCTGGAGCTGGGGAGGCCTTGATAGTGAAGGTAGGGCTTTAGGGTTTAGGGTTTAGGGTACACCAGTATAATTGTATTAATATAACTTCATAGGGGCTATATGGGGATAGTCGCACAAATTGTCAGACCCCTGCTTGACGCAATCCCGCCTGGGAGTGTACGGTGTGGGGAATGGCGAGTAGCCCAAACTCGGATGGCTCGACGGCTCAGATTCGCATGTTCAGGGCTTCCAAGTTGCCAGCTTGCGGCCATACGGCTAGCGTTGATGGCTGGAGATCTGAAGGAGAGACCCACCATGTAGGATCATGGGCTTTGATGTCAAGCTTCAGTGTGGACAGCGAAGACCGCCTAAGCCCTGCAAGGGGCGACGAGAAACGATTGTCAGCGATGAGCCCTATGAAGCTTGTACCCTGAGATGGTTAATTTCACATGTTCCCGCTTTAAGTAGACACCGCAGCTCTCTTCGCAGCAAGAGGCAAATTAGGGGGTGGAGTTCTGGGATCCGCACGAATGCATCAACAGTCAGAAAACTGGGATGCCTACCGGGCTAGCTACTCAAACTATGGATATAGTAACGGAGTGCCGGCGAAACGCGAAGGACGCACTGTCCAGCCTACCCAAAAAGAGGGTCTACACCCTCGAAGCCTCAAGCCTTGATCCCGCTACCATCAACGAAGCTCCCAATGACGTAGCCCTGATGTGAACAGGCGAGCTGCCACGATGCGGTGTCCTGGGAGGAGTGAGACTTTGGGCTTCGGACATGGACAGAAGGCTCTTGCAGAAGTAAGCACTGAAGTAAGGTTGATGAGATACCCTACCGATTCTGAGGTAGCTTGTGGGGTGGTCTCGGGGGTCAAGCTCCAGGTATGCTTGTCATTACGGCTTAGCCTGTCAATAATTGTGCCCGCATCTCAAGAATCCTGCGCGAGCTCCTGAGCTCCAAACCCTATCCCCGCGACCCCAAACCTCCAAGCTCGAGAAGGCCATGGAAAGCCTATCAACCTGAACCCTGGACCGGAATGCACAGTGACTCAACCCTGAAAGCAAACCTCAAACACGCATCTGGATAGGACCAACAATGATTTGCACAAATTACCATGGTCTTACTACTACAGCGACCAACAGCATTGGCACCGGTACTGGTGCGATACGCAGGCGGCCGACAAGTCGCACAAGTCTCCCTAGTTCTACCAGTTCAATAGTAATGCTCGTGTACAAGCTCTAGCTGCAACAAAAAGCAAAGAATGCAATACTACAGTAGCCATCATGTCATGGTCAAGAATCATGCTTTTTACTTGAGTCGAAAGCCTGGCTAACACAAGCGACGCTCTCAAACACCCAAGACACGGAATCACAAAGCCTTTTCACTGAACTTGACTCCACACTAAGGCTCAGACCCTGGACACCCGCGCCCATAATCGAAGCTAGTCAATCCTCAACCCTGCGCCTGAAACCAGCCATTGCTCATATGCATGCTGCAAGCAAGCCTCCAGATGACACTACCACGACGGATTCCTGTAGATACAAGAGGCTGAAGGTGAACCTCCCTGAAGTCCGATGCGACACTCCGAAAGGGTCCAAGTACTAGTAGAGTCTATACTTTTGGGGCCCAAATACCTACTAAGTACCTACTACCATGGTACTTGGACCCTTTGGGACTGCTTCACTACAGCCTCGCCATCAACTTTGCAAGCCAGGAGCATCGTTGGAGAGCTTGCAAGGCGGAGTCTGCAGGTGGAGCTCGCTCGCATCGACCCGCCCTGTCACAGAGGTCAGAGGTTCTCTCATTTACATGGGTGGTTGTCAAAATGATGGTCCCTTTTTGGGTCCTTATTATACTACGGCACCTGTTATTTAGGGTACCCCAAAAGGGACCATAATTTTGACAACTACCCACATGGCTTGGGAACAATTCTAAGCTTAAGCCCTGAGCTTTAAGCCCGAATTCATCTTCAAGACGCCTTGCAGAGTTTGTATTTACGGGGATCTTTGCCCGCTTTCTGCGGCCTCTTTTCAGGGTCTAGCACCAGTGTTGTAAGGTCTTGGGGTTTAGTAGAGGGTCCGGGTCTGGGGGTCAATGTTTTTTTAGATCAGTGCGAAATCAAGGGCTTCAGGCTAGACCAAGGTGTTTGCGAGCCCCGCTCAGGGCTTGGAGTCATGATGGTCGCTCGAAACAGCGGGGGTTGTGCTGCCAGCTGCAGCCTTATAAACTTGATACGGCAGGTACACGCTGACAAGACAGTGTATGTCGTGATGCCGGAACGGGTGGTTGGTACTGGAATAGAGCCAGAGTATAACCCGCCATGCTTCTACGGAGAAGCTTGACGGCTTCGTGGCTGAACAAGTAGATTCTACCGGTTGCAGGATGCATACTTTCGGCGCCCTCGATCTTTGCCGTTCGTCATGACTCCTGGCTGGTCTTCTGCAGCCAGTCTACCTGCTACAACTGCTGCTAATGCAATGGTATGTAAGCTAAAGATTCACTAAAGATCCATTCAACTCACGGCTGGAGTACGACTGCCTGCAAGCAGTCACATGCACAGCCGGGAGACACCTCGTGTAAAGCAAGCAACAAAATTGGCCGAGGCCTGGGAACGTTGTATGCCTTGCTCAACTTCACTATTCACTCAGTCGATGAACAAGCCGAAGGTCGTGGTGCGGACGGGCTCTCGGCAAAACGGGCACTGATGTGCGATCTGCTGCCGGCATGTAGGGCATAGAACATGCCCACAAGGTGCCAACACCACCATTGGACGGTCTTCGTGACAAATGCCACAGGGCCCCACGAAGCCCCCTCGTGCAGTGGTCAGGCCGGCCTCGCATCCTTCTGCACCACCCCAGGAAGCCGACATGGATAAGTTGCATATGCCGCAAAAAAGGGGATGGTTCACTTCGACAGTGAGCTGCTCAAAGCCGTATGCTCCCAAAGCCTGCCGCAGCTCTGTTTCATAGTTGTCCATGCCGAGGCGCTTCAAACCTTTCACCACCACCTGCTCGTCGATTCGAGCACTAAAATTCCCACGACGGCTTTGTTGCTCGCACACGTGCTCGAATCGTGTCACTTGTGCTGCAACCCATTGCTGAATCTCTTCGCGGTCGCTGGCCACCTGCTGGTCTCGTGCGGTGGAGCTCTGCCGAGACAAGCGCTGCACAAAGGACATCAGGCTGAAAGTTCCACTTGCAGCTCAAGGAGTCCTAGTGCAAACTTGGCAACTGGAATGCTGCGGGGTCAGTGTTAACGTCCAAAGCTACCTGATCTTCTGGTGTTGAAAAGCGATAGCCGAGCGACGACGAGAACGACCTCGAAAGCATGGTTGGCCATACGAGCCATGCTGTTCCTGCCAGAGCCTAAACCCTAAACCCTTAAACCCCTAAGCCCTAAACCCCCAACTCTTCAAAACACACAAAGCCGTACGCACTTAAGACAACTCCCGGAGCCGACACAGCCAAAACGCTTCAGAGCACCCTGTCAAAACGAAGGAAGTCCTTAAGATAACTCCCAGAGTCTAAACCCCGGATCCCCCTCTAGAAAAAACAGCGCCGGACCTGGCGAAGGCGATCGATAGCGATCAGCCGTCGGCCTCGACAAGATTCCGAGGTGCTTTAGAAAGGCAGCGTTAGCGTTGCAGTGTCTCCATGATTCTCCATGTGCGAAAGGATATCAGGAATAGAGTTGACGGGCTCTTCTTCTCAAGGAAGTGGCTGGAGGCTAGCCCGAAAATTGAATCGAACAGCCCGTCCAAGGCCAAGGACCCGAAACCCTGAACCCTGAACAACTCAACAGCTGGCTTCACATATGGCATGAAAGCCGGAACCGGTAGAATACGGCTGTATAAACAGTAGCGCTCAAGAATGAACAGGTCTGACGATCAGGGCTATCAGTGTTCTGTACACCTTCTGCACCAGCTGCACGCGAACTTAGCGCGCCATGGTAAGGATAGAGCGAGCCATCCAAGCCGGGTGGAGAGGATATCACGAATTCCTGGCAAAAAGCGAGGACATGTGGCTAAAGGCTTTCGATTAATTAGGCGTGAGGCAGTACAGTAGGATCCATTGAGAGCTGGGGCGGTCTTCGGACGAAGGACTGAAGATCCGATCAGAAGCCACTGTAGGGTCCTTAATCATTAGAATAGGGTTTTGGGCTCTTTTATAGTATAATCATAATAAGGAACCCCGGAAAATAGTATAGGTAATTATTGAGGCCCCACATTACAAACCAGTCCTTCGAGAGCCTGGGCCTGCAAACCTCGAGCCCGGCCCTGCATCCAGCAGAACTGACGACCGTGAACTAATCTAGGGGCCTTAATAATTGGAATAGGGTTTCCGGGGGTATACTATACTATAAGAAGGAACCCCCCAAAATAGTATAGGTAACTATTTAGGCCTCAAAAGTAGTCACAGACCAGATCCCCAGCCGCTCAAACCAAAAGTCGTAAAGCATGCGAGTCAATCAGAAACGAAGATCTTTTCCACCAGGAGCTACGAAAACAAGATCCTATGTGCCCTGAAACGTAAGCCTTTTTGGCGCTCCAGGCTTGATGGAATAATGGTGTACGTAACCAGAAGGGCGTCTGGAATAGGATTTACTGGCTGTTGCGGCTCATGCACCCTCAGCACCAAAACTAATCACGCCCCCAAACCCTAAGCCAAACAGCCAGAATCCTTTATGGGAGCTTCAGACACGCTGCACCCTAAAAAAACAACCCCCAAAAACCTGAACCCCAACTCTTGAACCCTGAAACCCTAAACCGCAAAACTGCAAGACCTCAACAGCCAGCCTTTACGGTGGGAGGTGGCGCCGTGCTGCGATTTGCCGGACGGCGCTGCTTGGAGCTCCCTGCCGCAAAAGTCCCTTGCTTAGGCTTTAGGATTTAGGAGTTTTGCGGTTTAGGGGTTCGGGGTTAGGGTTTTAGGTTTCGGGGTTAGGGCTTTAGGGTTTAGGGTTAGGAGCTGTAGCTGTTACAGAAGAGCTATAAGAAGAAGCCTCTCATTTTATGGAATATCATGGGAATACTCGTGAATCATAAATAGAAGCCCCCGATGCTATATGGTGTAGGGAAGCTTCCTCGAGATAAACAGAAACCCTAGAGCCAATACTATATGATGTGAAGAGGAGTCCTGAATTTAGAGGGTTTGGGAGTCTTTGGCTGCTGGAGGTGGTCGGGGATTCGAGCTCGAGAGGCGAAAGAAAGTATGCACCCGGCTCAGCATTTTCGATTTCTGGTTGAACCCCGGAGGAATACACCCGTAAGTAAACCTCGAAGGGCCCGAAGCCTAAACCCTGCAATAAGCCCTTATAAGCCTCAAAAACCCTAAACGTAAGCCCAAAGCACATTCTGCGAACAGGCCTTTACCATGCATGTCACGCCACCCTGTCGAGTGGTCTTTCCTGCAGCTGAAGTTGGATGTAGGGGCTGAGGACCGGGGAGTCTGGGCAGGGATCTTTCCTATACCCATAGGCCCTAAAGTAGTTCCTTTTTGGGGTTCATACATAGAATCCTATAAGGTAACCCCAAAAAGGAACTACTATGGGGCCTAGGGGTAGTTCTTCTTCCTGCCACTTTGACTTCCGTAAAAACTTGCTATGGTGGTGGCGGCCGCGGTGCTGGTGCTGGTGCTACAGCTTGTGCTCCGGGTAGTAAGGACGACGACGACTGCTGTTACAGCAGGATCACTTGCTGCTGAAGGTGCCGCTTCTGCTGCTGCTACTCCCCTCGTGTTGCTGCTTTTGCGACGACGACGACGACAACGACGACTACTGCTGCTGCTATCCCTAGACCCAAACCGACTCAGACTCCTGCTCCCGCCACTGCAACTACGACGACGACTGCTGATGCTACGACACTAAATATTCTTGTGGTTAAACCCATCTGCATCGCAGTCAACCCTTCAGCTTTAAGAAATTATCACGGACGGAGTAGCCACCGATTGTTGGTGGGGATTGGGCTTGGCGGATCTCGCAGAAAATGGAGCAATCCCAAAATCGCACTCAGAACATATGGGAGTTTCCGAAAATAGGGGACCCTAATATAGAACCTGAATAATAGGATCCTTAATATAAGGACCCCAAAATAAGGTACCCAATTTTTGGAAACTCCCATATTCCTGTCCAAAACTGGAGCTGCAGCTGTGAGTCGTTGCCATCTGCTGCGTCTGCTAGCACAAGCCTCAGTGTGTTGAGTTTTCCTGTAGGTTCACGGGTTGGAGTACCCCAGTAAGGGTCCTTACAAGCAGGATTACATGTAACACATAATTCTCAGTCCAATTCTATCGTGCTGGTTCCCTTACTTCCGCGACATCGCACAAGACGGAAACTCTGCGAGCTATTCATGAAGCCCACTTTGAACCTCCTAAACCCTAAACCTTAGACCCTAAACTCTAAATTCCAAAACCTCAAACAGTTGGGGCCCCAAGTTGGGGCGGTCACGCGAGCTTTGCAAACTTCGCGGCTCACTGCGGCGCAGAAGGCTAAATCAGCTTGGAGCCCACGGCAGGCGACGAAGGGGAGGTAAAGCCACGGCTTTGGGTTTAGGGTTCTGTATCTCTGGGTGTCAGGATGTTGTCGGATCTCACGAAAGTTATTGAGGTTTAGGGTGGGGTTCTGCAAGGTTTGGAGTTCAAGAAGGCTCCACAAACCTCCTGCTATGTGCTAAGAACTAAGGTGCGCGGCGGTTGAACCCAATCCGGCACCCCAAACCCTAAGCCAATCTGCCGATTATCCCAACATCGGCAACAAAAGCCAGAGGCATGCACACGTCCAGAGCGTAGATGCAAGGCTGAGGTCGTACGTCATAATTAGGGGGTAAAAAAGCTGCTGAAGCATCCATATGTTGCCGGGCCTGTGCTCAAAACAGTCCTCAGCTGTGATAAGCGGCATTTACCTACGCTGTGCGCTTCTCAAAACCGTGGAAATCTTAATGCATGCGACAACTCCCAATTCAAACAAGGTTGTTGCTGACATGGTCATGATGTTTCGCACAAGTCGGCTCAGACTAACGCACTCAGTCAGCTAGTCGTCGTTGGGATTCTTAAGCAAGCTGCAAACCCTGTGAAACTTCGCAGCTCAACCCCGAACCCCTAAACCCTAAATATAATTTATGAGCCCTCGGTTCTGGGAATGGAGGATCGAAGTCGCTTAGTATGTGGGTATATACCAGCTAGCACGATCGTGAAGCCTGCTTCTGCTTGTACACTGCTTCCACCATCCTCCGCTCCTTTTTTTGTCTGATGTTACAAATTCTGGAGTCAAGGTAAGGAGATTAGAAACTCAAACACACTTACGCACCCTTCGGTAAACCCAAAACCGCAAGTCAACGCTGCAAGTCCCAAAACCCCAAGCCTAAAACCCTCAAATACCCCAAAAACCCATCCCTAAAGCCCTAAAGCACCCTTGAAATCCATGGGCCCGGATACCCTGGGAAAGGGGGAGATGGCACATCAAGCGCTGCTCGCAGAGGTTTAGCAGCCCATGGAAGCTGAAGAGGGAGTCCTCTCGAGGGAAGCGCTGTGCTAGGCTTCGGGGGTCCATTTATAGTAGCTATAGTAGTGTTAATAGTAGCTATATATAGTAGTGTTAATAGTAGCTATATATAGTAGTGTTATAGAGGGACTATAAGGAAAATACTATTCCCATGTACAGTTTAGACTATACAGTGAGGTATGTCAAAGGCTTAGCTTTAGGGGCGTTTGGCTTTAAGTCTTGAGGCTCGTTCAACAGGCTCTGGGACGGGAGTTGGGTAAGCAGCGTGAGGTCCGTTGTTTGTGTGCTGCCGGCCTTAGGGCACGAATTGGTGGCTTGCGGGTTTGAGGGCTTCTGGCTTGAGGATTCGGGACCCTTGAGTCAAAGCCTTGCGCAGTCCTCGAGCCAGACCCAAAACCTAGCTGGAACTTTACCCAAGCCCATCTCGAGACACCCTGAACCCCAAATCTCAACCCCATACCCCCCTCGTAGAACCTAAACCCTAAACCCTAAACCCTAAACCCCAAACCCAACCCTTTTAGGGAAGCAGGTATCAACCTCTTTAGTGGTACCCTGTGAGGAACTCTCTTGAGGAGCCGCCAGGAGCCCGCCTCCCTCTCGATGAAGCAATTCACTGCCGAGGCATCCTCGGCTCCGTCTGGGGGAGTCCGGCAGGGAGCGTAGGATTTCGGCAATCTAGCGGCCTTCATAGTTAGAATAGGGTTTTGGCGTATATTCTACTATAATTCTAATAAGCAGCCCCCAAATTAGTATAGGCAATTACCTAGGCCCCTACGCTATACTAAAGTTGTTAAGGTTGTTCTGGATGTTTAAAGAGTTTGACTTCAACTTTTGTAGGGTTTTCGGCCAGTTGGCTTTGAAGGTTGCACTGAAAATCTAGGCCCCGCACACCCCCAACCCAACTGATTTAGAAAGACCAAGCTGCCCAAAAAGAAAGTAGAAGACCGGAAGAAAACCCCCAAACCCTGAACCCAAAACGACAACTTCTCACCCGAAGCCCCAAACCCAAATTAAAAAGCCGTGACAACCGCCGGCAGTCAAGACGCCATGAAGACGTAGAGTGGCACGTCATCTGGTCGAGGGGCCTCCTGGCGGGTGGCATCGAAGCGCTGCTCGAGCTGAGGCCATAAAGAGGTTACTGTATAATGTAGGGGCCTCAATCATTAGAATAGGGTTTTGGGGCATGTTATACTAGAGTTAATTATAATGAGGAACCCCCAAAATGGTACAGGTTGTTATTTAGGCCTCTATGTTAGGGTCCATTATCAAGGGATTCTATAAGGGCTACTACAAGGGCTCTATCAGGTATGCTCTACACGTGCTTTTGTGAGTGTCACTACAAGGGTTTAGGGTTTGGCCTTCGGGTTGAGGGTTTTTTTTACGGGCAGCACGGAGAGGCCAGGGTTTGGCAAAGTCTCGGTGTTCCGGGCCCTGAGTTTAGGGTTTAGGGTTCCTTTAAGGGGGTCTATAAGGGTGCTTATAAGGGATCTATAAGGTTGATCTCGAGGGATGCACAGCTTTTTCACCATTCCGCGTGCAAAAAGTTTGGCTTGAGCTTTGAGCTTTCCTGGCACAGCCCTCGCGCCGTCGTGACAAATATGAGAACCCGTACCACCAAAAAGCCTCAAAACACCGTGATCTAAGTCGGTGTGAAGGGAGCAATTTGCTCCTGGAGTTCCTCATGTGGGCTTCTCTCTTGCTTGAGGGATTTGTGCTTGGATCTCATGGTTCAATCAGGCCTTATGAGGCCTTTCGGGGGATAGGGTGTAGGGCGAAGCAGAGAGTATATCGGATGCAGGGCTTCGGCTTCGGGGTTTGTGATTCCTTAAGCCTTTGGGTTTCAAGTGGTTTAGGGTAACGAATAAGGGCAGCACCATGTCACCTCTTACCCCAACACAAATAAGACTTCACCTATAACGAACAGTGATAACAACGAAGCCGTGCACTACATAAACAGATGTACGGGAAACTGTATACGACCATAGCGGATATGGTCAGTCATCTCAAATTGCAACCTGCATCTGATCTTGTCAAGCGTCGGCTCAACTTCGGTCTAGGGATGTCTCCGGACTTAAGCCGCAAAGCACTGAGAACTCAACCCTAAAGCCTAAACCCTAAAGCCTAAGCGCTATAACCCCTAAAAGGCCCGAAACCCTCAAGGTGACAGCCTCGAGGCGGTGCCAGATCTCAAACTTTAGTCTAGGGCCGGATTCTGGTCGTGAGCTTGCTCCCGTGGCCCTTCTGAGCTTACTCAGTGTCAGGGTTTAGGGGTTTGGGGGCTTCGGGTTTAGGGCTACAAGTGTTTTTTATGCGCATAAAAAACGCTTACTCAGTGTCAGGGCTTAGGGCTTTGGGGGCTTCGGGTTTAGGGCTCCTTTAGTGCGACAGGGTGCTGGAAACGTGAAGCTTCTGTCTTCTTCGCCAGGTAATGTATTGGCCTTAAAAATTAGAATAGGGTTTTGGGGGGGAACCTTATTATAATTATAGTATAACATACCGCATAATTATTAAGGCCCCTACATTATGCCTCTTCCACACGTAAGAAAGCCGCAATTCCTCACACCAGGAAGCTAAAGGACTTTCTGTAGGTCCGGGCGGGTTTTCAGACTTTGGCGGAAGGCCCGGTGTGCAACTGCGGGCTTCCAAATCATACATAGATATAGATTTATATATATATATATATAGAGAGAGAGAGAGGGTAGGGTGTAATGTGCTTTTGGCGTCTGTGACTGGCAAGCACTGCAGGGCTCCAATAGGGTTCAGGGCCGAGGATGTCGGGCTTGAGCACTGCATCCGTACCATCTTGTCCGACAACCACTGAAGCCTCACAAGCTGCAACCACGCGTAGGTGCACACACAAACCTATCTCTACATCGTACATCCCGCAAGCCCTTAAACTGTGCTCTGCTTCCTGACGGCTGCTTCAACCTTAGGGCTCAAGTGTACCTCAGAAACTCTGACCTGGGCCAGGAAGAGCACCACGGCACAGAACTATGTGTTCAAGTGCATCAGAGCAGGCTGTAGCTACATGTCTCGACCCCTCAGAGATCGCGTCAAAATGGGTTAGAATGACGAACTGTGAGGCCCTAAACCCTAAACCCTAAACCCTAAACCCTAAACCCTCCTCTAAAGACTCTGCGGAAGCGACTCACTGGTCAGAACAGGGTGATGGGGTTCATTCTACGTAGAGGCAGGGTGAGAGACGGGTTCTGGGGATCCAAATTGAGGCTGACGGTTTAGGGTTTAGGGTTTAGGGTTTAGGGTTTAGGGTTTAGGGTTTAGGGTTTGAAAGTCCTTATGTAACTCTTATCACAGTACTATGCAGTCTCACGCCAGCGAAAGTCAAAGGACCAACGTCCTCCAAGGAACATGTCAAGGGAGAGTTCATGTCTGTTGCGGGGGCCCATTTCCCTAGAAGTATGTATCCTAGAGGGCCTAAACCACTGTACCCTAATCCCAAAACCCTAAACCCTAAAACCCTAAACCCCATAGGGCTTTAAGGGAACCCTATGTGAAGTCTCCTCCTCGCAACCTGCTTTGATGACGCCTATTCAGTTCAAAGACTGGCGGGCTCAAATGGGAGTTTCAGAAACTAGGGTACCTTATTTGGGGGTCCTTATAATAGGGATCCTATTATTTAGGGTACTATATTAGGGTCCCATATTTTCTGAAACTCCCAAATCCTCCCATGCACTGCCATTTCGACAGATGGGAAGTGGCGTCAGGCAACTTCGAATCGGGGCTACAAACCCTAAACCCTAAAACCCTAAACCCCTAAACCCCGAATTAAGCCCCAAACCCCTAAACCCCTAAACCCTAAACCCTAGACCCCTAAACCCCAAACCTACGAAGAGATTGCAAGCTGGAGGGCTTGAGAATTTGACGCACCCAAATGCATATACCGTCATGTTTGTTTCAATGTGCATATACATATGTGTATATGCATAATATGTATATGTATATGCATGCATGCATGTATGTAGCTAGCTGACTGGCTAGCTAACTATCTCGCTACCTAGCTAGCCAGTTGGCTAGGTAGCTAGCCAGTCAGCTAGCTAGCTAGCTAGGTAGGTAGGTATTAATGTATGCGTGTGTATGTAGGCATGCATGTATGCATGCATGATGTGTCTCTGTCGGCATATACGTAGGCGCGTATGTGTGTATGAACGAGTATATGCCTGTGCATTTACACCTTAATCACATAGAGCAAATGTCCAGAAACGGGATACGAAACAGAAACCCCTGCGTAGCACGTCACAATTATGCAGGCGAAGGGTGCCTACAGGGTGAAGGTCTTAGGACTCTGACTGTGTTTCCTGACCAATCCGCCATTTCGGCTGCGCAGAGAGCAACCAAAGCTTTCAAAAGGTGCAGAGACACGTGAACGACACGGCAACACGACTTCGGCCTGGTAATCAAGAGAACCATTCAGAACATCAGTGCTTCAATAACCCGCTGTTTAGGGTTTGAAATGACCGGTATCCATATACAGGCGTTTCTATAACGTGAAAACTCTCAGGCTCAAATCAAGAACACACCAGATAAAACCTAAACACTATCAATAACATGTCTGAAGCCCGGTTAGACCCTGAGCTGTGGCCATACACCGCTACCACACACAAATACCCAAAGCCTCGAGCCGAATATCATCAAAGCTACCACCGCATGAATACACAGACTCTAAAAAGTTCTCTTTAGAGGAACTCAGAAAACACATCTGGAACTCTACACCCTTCTTGCAGAACCCCTGGAAATACCAGGAAGGATGTTAAGTTGCACAAGCAAAAACACACTGGTCGATTCCAGGCCATTCTCCCTCATAGAGCCGGGCCCGTGGAAGACCTCAGCACAGGCGCCAAGCCACGATGGAGAATAAGGGAATGTAGGGGCCTAAATAATTACCAATACTATTTTGGGGGTTCCTGATTATAAGTAAAGTATNNATAGTGGGCCCCAAAACCCTATTCTTTTCATTAAGGCCCCTATATTATACTTCCGTTGTATGTAAATACTATAGGCCAACACCTGGCTAGCACTATGCCGGTGCAACTAGTTTTTGCGAACGTTGCACTGGCAATACGAACGCAAACACGAGCTCAGAAAGCTGACATGGTCATCTTGAGGACACAACATTCTCAGAAGGTCGATGACTAGACCCTTAAACCTATTGATAGTAAGGAACCCCTTCTTAAGGAAATAATCTGGGCAAAGAACTCGGCTTCTTGACTACACCCTAGACCTGAAGTTAAATCCTCTTAGAACCCACATAGCACCCTTACAGATCCCTTTGAAGGCCGCGCTACATATGACCACCCTCACCCCCCCCCCCCCCCCCCCGCCCCGGCGAAAAGGAGCCCGAGCAGCCTGGTATGCTCTCAGCGAGGGGGATCATTCCTCACTTCCTTCTCTTCTTCGTCCTCCTTTTTGCCGACGAGTTTGGCAATGTTCCATAAGGGTTTATGTAAGGCCAGGGCTGAGGATTCAGTGGTTCAGGTTTGAAACGCCCGGTCTTCGGTGCTTCAGGGTTCCAGCTGCAGGGCGCTAAGGTTGAGGTTTCACGGTGGACAGGCTCAAGTTTCGGATCCAGGGCGTGGTGCAGGAGCCGCTTGCACTGCGACACTTTAACGACAACTGTTCCGCCAAGCCGCTGAACCCTCCTCGCCCTAGGCATGAACCAAACTGCCCGTGGACACCGGGACCGCTTTGGATTCTAAAGTGCTTAGGGGTGCAGGTTCGAGGTCCAAGCCCGAGAGATAGACTTACAGAGTCTGCAGGTGTGCATGGTACTTCACTCTGTGACCTGATTCTACGACTGACGCCCCCCAGCTTAGAAGGCTCGCATGACAGACATAGACTTCGTCTTAGGCCTAAGGCCTTAGGCCTGAGAGAGGTCATGCATCGCCGGCCTGCAAAGAAAAGAAAGGCACTGGGCAGTCTAAGCTGTGGTTTCCACTTGTGACGATTACATTTGGGCTTGCCCTGACTTTTGGTCGTATTCGTGCTAGCTGCTAGCGATTGGTCCGAAGAGTCAGGCTTAGCGCGTCGAGTATGGCTCAGAATGAGGGCTGTAGGGGCCTGCATAATTAGAATANNTGTACTATAAATATAGTAAGGAACCCCCCCAAATAGTATACGTAACTATCAAGGCAGCTATATTTAATTACAGGCTTTGCACGGCTCCTTCTCCTCAGTGACGTGCTCATCCCACGGCATCTTCTCCTCCTGGACACCCGGTACCGCTAAGAAGCCTAAACCCTAAACCCCTAAACTCCTGAACCCTGAACCCCTAAGCCCCGCACCCTAAACCCCTAAGTGACACGACTCGTGGTCGTAGACCCTAACCTAAACTCGCTAAGCCTGGGACCCCCAATCTTAAGCCCTAAGCCCTGAAACTTAAACCTCAGAACCCAAACCGTAAACCCCACTGCTGATCGCTTCAGGTTCGTTAAAATCCGAGCGAGGCTTTTGGTGTTTTGGGGGTTTAGGGCTGATGGAAATTTTAGGGATTTAGGGCTTATGCGTTTAGGGTCCAGGCCTTAGTATAGCTCTGAAGTCTTACAGCTTTGTTTTCTTACTGTAAGAGATCTTAGGCTCAGGGCCTAAGCCTAGAAAGTCCGAACGATAAGAATAGGGCCCCCGAGGCCCTAAACCTTAGGGGGCTTAGGGTTTAGGGTTTACCAGGCCCTAAGTTTCGGGGTGTCATATGCTGTACTTAGGTAGGACCTGTCACTGACAGAGACATAGCTCTTGATGGTGTGTGAGAGGTCGCGAGCCCCTGGGGTGTCTCACCGGAAACCCTAAACACCTAAGCCCCAAAAATCCTGAACCCCCAAACCCCCAAAACCGCTACATCACTAAGTCACAACGTCTCAACCTGAGCCCGAGGGCCGGTTCATGGGCTGAGGGAAAGTCCAAAGCTCCTCCCTTGGAAAAGCTGGTGCAGGGTAGCCTAGCTTCAAAGAAGTGCGACATCTTAGGACCTTACAACTTCAGGGGAACCCTGAAACCTACATCCCTACATGCTCCAAGTTCCCAAGAGTCCTCTTCCTCTTGCTTTTCCTCCTTCTCTTCCTTCTCGTCCTTCTCCTCCTTCTCATCCGTGGCCTCCACAACGACCTCCCGGTGAGGGCTTGCTGAATTTCGGGGTCACTTCACTGTATCAAGAACTGTTATATGAGGATTTTGCAAGCCTTTCAGTGGGAGCCAACTAGGCATTCCATACAGGAGCATGACGGCTGCAGCCGAGAGCACGAAGAACGAAAGGAAAGGGTTGATGACCAAGGGTGTGGAGAGTTGTTTTTTTGGGGGGTGTCAGGTTCAGGGTTAGAGTGTGGTGATTTGAAGTTCGGAGTTAAGGGCTTGGGGTTTTGTGTAAAGGAACTTTGTTCAGGTATAGGTATTCGGGGTTTGGGGTCTTTAGGGACTTTGGGTTTGAAGTTGAGGGATTTCCGGCTTGAGGCAGCGCTCGCCTTCTTCGCAGGCGGCTTGATCCAGCTGCTGCACCTGAGGCTAAACCTAAACCTCAAAGGCTGATTAGAGAACCCCCCCTAAGCAAAGAACCTAAACTTAAACCTCAAAGGCTGATTACAGAACCCCAAATAAAGTAACCCCTGAAAGGACACCGAAATTCCAAGGGACCACAACTCTAATCTGTATCCTACTCCCCGGGCCTTAAAATTCTACTCCGATCTTCAGGAACCAAGATTTCTATGCGTACCCCACTACAACGGGGACACAAGTAGATGGATGGATGTACGTAAGTCTTCCCTGCAGAAGCCATACTACTCAAACTCAAGGCCTTCAAGGCCAAGGGCTTGTTTGGAGAGCTCATTCGGGGAGCTTCACGCAAAACACAGCGCGAAAGGTCAGATCCTAACCCCAAGCCGTAAACCCTGGTCGATTTTGCTACTGAGACATATGGCATATGGATGGATAAATGGAAACATGGTGGCCTCTAGCCTCTAGCTGCCCTGACTTGCCACAACCCCGCCGTCGAAGCCACAAGTCCTAAAGCCTCAACGGCAACTAAACCCTAAACCCCAAACGGCCCCAAACCTAAACCCTAAACCCTAAACCCCAAACGGCCCTAAACCTAAACTTCCGTCGCAGGCACTGGTCACTGCGGAAAGAGCCCTCGGCCCGGGTCCAAGTGCCTGGTTCTTGCTTTAGGGTTTAGGGTTTAGGGGTATAGTCTCCATTGTAGTTCCCTTTTCTGGTTAAACCAAACTTATATTTAGGATCCTATAAGGTAGCCCCAGAAAAGAACTACAATGGAGACTACAGGTAGGTTTAGGGCCGTAGGGCTCAGAGTTTAAAGGCCTTTTGGCTGCAGGGCTTCAGGCTTTAGGCTTTTTGTGGGCTCGGGATTCATAGGCTTCGAAGGATTCGAGGTCTGGGACGAAGGTTGGGTTCAGGGTTGCGCACTTATTTTTCCTACATCGGGCACTTTGGTGTGCCACTTTGTCTCGACTCTCTTTGGCATTCTCATCTACTGTGTCAGCATCTTGAGCGCCGCAGCATTCGTCATAAACGCTGACCTCCAACCCTCTTGGGGTTTACTTACCCACAGGCCCCATAGTAGTTCCTTTGGTAGCTTATATTTAGGATCCTATTAGGTAATCCCAAAAAGGAACTACTCCCTCAGGCCCTAAATAGGAAGCCTCTAAGGAACCCTCCTCTCCACGCCTTCCGGGCACGACTTGCAGCCAGTCATGCCGAAGTCGTCGCCGTAGCTGCCTGGAGGCTTTCAGGTCTACCTGGACCCCCAAAGTATGTAGAATAATAGACTTTTTAGATGCCTGGAGGCTTTAAGGTCTTCCAAAAGTATGTAGAATAATGGCCTTAGTTTATAGGTGTTGGGCCATTATTTCTACCCACTGTTGGGGCTCCGGGTAGGGAGGGCACTCAGGTCCAGGGAGGGTACCATGAAGGTTCCTGTAGCTGAGGCTACTTTATGGCTGCGATGAGGGTCCAGATTGGCTCCCAAGAGATCTAATATGGGGGCCCTTAATAATTAGGATAGGGTTTTTGCGGTGATCATACGTATGAGGCGAGTACAGGGTTTTGAGGTATATTCGACTATGATTAGAATACTTGTTTATTCGGGCTTCGTCGTGCCTTCGATGGTTTGGGCCACCCTTCTCGAAGGATTTCGGGGAGTATCTAACCTGGCTTCAGTCGCATTGTGTTACGAATCCTACTTAGAGTCAGGCCAGAGGTTCTTGGTAAGGTGTTTGGGGTTAGTCTTCGTCTGCTGGTTCAAGCTGGGGTCAACCTGGGAGTTTCAGAAAACTAGGAAAACTCTCTTGGCTGTCCTTATCAAAGAAAGGGATCCTGTTGTTGAGAGCTGGTGAATCTCCCAGCTACCCGATGCATGGCTATCACAGTCGGAGCGCCGGCCGGGCACATCTCGCACATCGCAACGCCCACGCTCTTGCTGAAATTGCCAACCTTGCAGGGACGTGGTTTTGTTTTGCAGCTTGAGGTTTAGAGAATATGAGTGTGTATTGTTGTGTTGTACGGGTGTCTGTGTGCGTGCGCTTGTATATGTATATATCATATAATATCTCCACTTATTCATACCTACATTAATATTTATTTATTTGCTACATCTTTGTTTAGGGAGTGGGCGGGGAGTTGGCCTTAGGGTTTGGTGTTCAAGGTTTGCACAGGTCTCTTGTGACGTCTGTTTACTGGATGATAAGGTCAGAAACGAGATGGTCTCCTGTAGTGTAGCGGGTCCAGAAACCTGAGGAACGATGCTCAGCCGTCGGGCTGTGTTCGCCGTCCGAGAACTACAACACTCCAACGATCCGACACTCTCGATCAGAAGCCACCAAGACAAACTCGAAAGCAGTGCTTCTGGTACAAGTGGACTCATGCACTAGTGCATTCCGTGAAACTGTAGGGCAAAGGCTTCAGACTGACACAAGGAGAAGAAACGCCACGGTAACTTCGCAAGGGCTTAGGCCTAAGCTCTAAATCCCGAAACTCCGAGCCACGAAAGCCCTACATCTCCAATCTGCAACCCATAAAGCTTTGAAGCCTTTATCTACAAGCCCACAACCCCTTAACCCCGACTCGCCGAAGCTCCGAAGCACGAAACCATGGCTGATCAGAACTAGAGCTGGGTTCTTCTTGTCACTTGATTGCCCAGGAACGTACTCTAAGCTATCAGAAAAGGGATCTATGGTAGGCACTATGGTTTCCTTTTCATGGTAACTTAACCCTAAACCCTATATAAACCCTAAGCTTAAACTGAGTTTCTTAACCTCTTAAGAGCCCGCCGTGCCAGAACTTCAGTCGAGTGGCCGAGCAGGGGATGCAAAGTGTGTGGTTGCCCGCGGCGATGATGGGCCTGGCGGACAATTGGGGAGGTTTACCCTAAACCCTAAACCCTTAAATCCTTGAACCCCTAAACCCTAAACCCATACACCCTAAACCCCTACTCCCATAAACCCATAACCCTTAACCCTGAACCCCCAAACCCCTAAATCCTAAACCACTAAACCCTGCACCCTTACGGCCTGAAGGGGTTGCTTAGGGTTTGTCAGGGTTTCTTTGGATTTGGGGTTTAGGGTTTAGGGTTTAGGAGTTGTTGACAATTTAGAGGTTTCGGGTCTTAGGCGCAGGGCTGGAGTGTTCGGTGGCTTGAGGTTTACGGTTTGTGTGGCAAACACCTCTGGGGTTGCCATATTTCTAGATCGCAAGATCCTGACGATAACATACAACTGTAGTTAAGCATCTAACGAAATTTCTGTTCGGAACATTAGCACCAATGAATCAAGAATAGGTCCAAACCTCTTCGAGGCACCAGCAGTCATGAAACTCGATAACCCTTCAGACACAAAAACTCACCCACCCAAACTCTTCCAAGAACCGTAAATCCTGAACCTCTCCCTCACTTAAAATTAACAACAGTAGCTCTTCACTTGGTGCCGGGCTGGTATGTGCCCTTGCCGCATTTGGTGCATGTGGCTTCGCTGGTTGCGGCTGTTTCCTGCTAAAAGCTCACACAGGTTCATGTGCATAGACCAGTACGTCAAATTGTGTGCACATACACACACACACACATATATATATATATACATATATATATATATATACACACAATAGACTGTAGAGGCAACCAGTCTAGAAGCTTCTCTATGTTGTGAGTATCAATGAAGGCTCGTATGAGCTCTGAGGGGTACTTAGGGCTTCCAGGTTTAGGGTTTAGGTTTTCGGGTTAGGGAGGTCTATAGGGTGTAGGGTTAAGAGCAGGCTTTTATGGTGAAGTGTGAGTCTGGTGCGAACCCTAGACCACCTTGGCCCAAGTCATTGGGGGAGTGTCGGGTTCTATCTTAACTATACGCTTTAGGGGCTTAGCGCTCAGGGTTTGGGGCTCGGCATTTCGATATTAGCGCGCGGGGCTCAAAGCCTGAAAAGTGAACGAAGGCACGAGTGCAATAGGAGAAAACACCTCGATGAACTTTTCTCCGCGCCAACCCAAGCAAGTCACATAAAAAAACTACAAGGAACAACCCACAACGCTCAAGCGTATATAACAGCAACATCAACCAAACTGAGCAACAACTGCTGGCAATCTTCGTCACAGTTTTGGTTGTCGGAAACCAGCAACAACCGCAACCAATTTATGGCACTGGTCATCCCAGAAAGGTAGCACTGGACAGAAGGGTCAGCATCGACGGGGAGTCAAGGGCAAGCTGCAATGGAACGCTTGTGAATGCGATGCGAATTTGAACGGCGCACTGACAAGCAAATAGTTAATTTCGACAACCCGTCCTCGCTGTACTTGCCCGGGCCACACTTCTCACAGAAGTCCTGTGCAGGAGGCAGAATGCTCAGGCACACAGATCACTCTATCTAAGTACATATTGATATGTATACAGAGAGCTACATTTGCGCACATACATGTTTAATATCTGAGTACATGATACAATGGAATACAATGGAATAGAACTCACCAGACTAGACTAGACCAGAATAGATAGAATAGAATACGATATAACATAATTCAACATATAACATAATGCAATAGAATACACTATACAAAAAGACGCTTAATCACTATTGCTACAAGTTGTATAGTTAAAGGTCTTCCGATTTTGTGAAGCAGGGAGTTATTGAATATGGAGATTGGGTGTTCTAGGCTGCGGGCCGTACACTGCCAAGGCTGCATACAGGCTGCGACAAAGGAAACATCATTACTAGCAAGCAGTGCAATCTATGGACGCGTGGCAGCTCCCTCTACGATGCAGGCCTTCCTTCAAAACCTGAGTTTGTTCTGTGCAGACCCCCACGTAGCCAAAAAACAACGATCAGCAACGGCACAGCTCCTCTTTTGCTCATAGGCCACATTTCGCAGGGTTTAGGGTTTAGGAACGATCGGGCTGTAGAGATTAGGGAGCTTTGAAATTAAACCGTGAAACATAGAAGATGGAGCCAAAGTCTCGATATTACGATCTTCAAATTCGTAGATCGTTCGTGCTCTTCGTACTCCCATTATAGTAACCACTCTATGAGCTCCTCATACTATAGCAGCCCATTGCACTAACCCTCTTTAGTAACCCGTTACTTGGAGGCATCCATCGAAGGGCACCTGGGCAGAGGCGCCCTTGGTGCTGCTGTAGGTTCCTCGGAGCTTCAGCCAGGTGGTGAGTTAAAACGGTGTACCATAGGGGCCTTCATACTTAGAATAGGTTGTTTTTTGTTTTCTTTGGGGGGGGGTTCTTTAAAGGGTTCCTTGAAGGGTTCTATACGGGCTACTATAAGGGCTCAAGGGTATAGGGCCCTTAATAATTAGAATAGGGTTTTGGAGTATATTATACTATATGTGTGATATGAGGAACCACCAAAATAGTACAGGTAATTAAGGCCCCCCATATAAGGGCCTCGGGTGTACCGTATAGGGTTGCGGGATTTACAGTAATTAGGGCTTAGGGTTTCGGTGTAGGCTTCGGTACTGAGGTTTACTCTCCTACAGACAAAGAGGCGGGGTTAGGGGTACACTGTTCCTGTAGTTAGGACTTGACGGCTAGTTGCAGTTGTTGCACACCGGAAGCCAAGCTAGGTAGAGCTCTGCATGTACTTCCTCTTCTGGATGACCAACTTCGGCACTCTAGCGCAAAGGACTCGAAACTTTGTCAAAGCAGAGGGGTGCACGGGCAAGAAGGGGGTTCTAATTACTTGAGGAGTGTCGTTTACCCGGTTCTTTATTGAAGTCTTTATGGGTCCATACTTGAAGGCAGCCCCAACTGATAGGGCACTCTCGATGTCCCCTCGATATTGCGGACTCTCTGCTCCAAAAACTACATCTCGGGTCTCACAAGGTGTCAAGGTGTTTATGCAGTATGGTCATGTTAATGCAGATTTGCTGAGGATCAGGGGGCGAACACGCAGCTGCTTAAAGCATATGAAACATGGTGTCACGGTATGTGGCTCGAAAAACAGTGTTCAAGCTCTAGGGCTCTAGGGGTATCTCTGATGACCCTACTAAGTCACAAGAACTGTGCTCCGCATATGATCGCCTCCAAGCAGGGTTCAGAGTATGCTCAGTCTGATGTCTTACCGGGCAGTTCACTCTGTCGCCTTACCGCCGCCCATCAGGCTTCGACCCTCAACCCTAAACCCTAAACCAGTGAGTGTTCACCCGAACAGCCACAGGCCGCGGAATTTTCTGGCGTCACGCCGAGCTCACTCTCGCGAAGTGGACCAGGTCCCAGGGTCGTGCAACTTCCGAGGGCTCGGAGACACTAAAACGTTCAGGGCTTAGGGTTTAGGGTTTAGGGTTTAGGTGCTCCACCGCATGGCTCATGCTTTACTCTCATGCCGACCCTGCGCCTCCAAGGCAAGAGTAAGAATGAACGGTCTTACAACCGTGACAACATCACACTGATAATCCCAATTGACCACAACTTCACTGCAATATCGATCAGAGAATACTACAAATAACAGCGATAGATATGGGGGTTGCCGAAAATAGGGGACCCTAATATAGTACCCTAAATAGTAGGATCCTTATTATAAGGACCCCCAAAAATACGGTACCCCTGATTTTCGGAAGCTCCCAAATCCTAAACCCTAAACCCTAAACCCCTAAGCCCTATATTAGGAATAAGGTACACCTTTATTGAGAATAAGAAGAATGAGCCCAGTGGCCGGGCTGGCAGCTGGCACAGGTCTCTGGGAAGGTCGCGCCCTTGGCCGGGCTCCACTTGCCTTGGAGTTAAAACTCTTATTAGGTTTAGGGTTTAGGGTTTAGGGTGTAGGGTTTAGGGGAGTTTAGGGTTTAAAGGGGTTTAGAGGGGTTTAGGGTTTAGGGTTGTGGGTTGGCTCTTTCAGTCCAGTATAGGGTTCAGGGTGACACAGTTTCGTGCGAGGGCAACCACTAGACTCCAAAAGACGCTGATGCTTTCGGTCCTTTGCCCCCAAACCCGGACGATCTTGGAAAGAATCAAGTTTATCTGCTTGACAACTGTTTTTCATCACCTGACCCCAACTTGCCTGCTTCTTGAAGCCTCAGCACTGTTGATACGAACAAGAATATCGAGACGTACAAATTCATCGGCGTCATCATGCTGCCGAACATCTTCGAGGTCCTCTTCATCATAATGATCATCATGCCATAATCTTCATCACCACCACCATCGTAATCATCACCATCAACAGTATCGAAAATACTCAGCCCTAAACCCGCCAGCTCTACGACTACGATCTACGCACCTTCGGCATCATCCGGGTCCCTAACCCTAACCCGACAGTTCAGGTAGTTATATTGGGTTTCATACACTGTGTCATAGGCTTTTATCGACGCTGTCCGGGCTTATAGGATTTAGAATTGGAGATGTGTGGCTTCTTTAGCGTTCTCTCTAGGGTTTAGGGAGGAGCCCCCAGACACTGCTGTGTAAACCCTAAACCCTAAAACTCTAAACCCTAAACCCCTAAACCCTAAACCCTAGCTCCTCGACCCGGAGCCTCCAAGCCTAGCTAAGCCCTCACCAGTATAGTTTGGGTACTGCCCCCATACAGTAACAGTCTATAACAGGGCTACTATTAAGGGCCTAATATATCCACAATATGATATAAATATTATCCAACTGTTACTGAGTGGGGGCAGTACCCAAGGTATAGTACATGGCCCAGGGTCCCAAGATTAAGGCTCGAAGCCTTGCCAGACTTCACTGTTGGATGGGAGCCGAGAATCTCAAGTCGTATGTTTAATGAGAGGGTCTTAATTAGCTGAGGTTTGCGTAGGGTTTGGGTTTAGGTTTAGGATTTGGGGTTTAGGGTTTAGGGTTTACGAGGTTATATGAAACCCCAAAACACCTCCTTCTCAACGGGGCAATGGTTCCAAAATTGGGGGGTTTGCCATCTTTCCCACGAGAGGTCGCCTGAACAAGAACAAGCAGGACTCCGATGTGATGAAAGGGCGGAACAATACCCCTTAATTAAGGAATATACCTTAAATTATAGTAGGATCCCTAATGAGATTTAAGGTATATTCCTTAATTAAGCTTACAAGGGGGTTTTGGAGTCTTTGGGAAAGAAGAACAGGCCCCTTCAAATGGTCTGATGCAGAAAAGACTTTCGTAAACACATCGATTTAGAACCCGTGATCTGGAAAACAGCGCTGGAAATCGACAAGACCGCGTGAACCTGGAACCGAATCATGGCATGCAGAGTCCAAGGTGTCGCGCCTGCTGGGCAAGCTTCGCAAACCCCCACGGTGTCCGCACCAATCTAGCGACGGGCACGGGAGGATGAAGAAACGTGGAATGAATTACACGGTCCAAAATTTAGGAAAGGCCGGGGTTCGTAAGACTTCAGCTATACCTCGAAAGAGTAGCGAGCAACCTTTCACACTGCACTATCGTGCTCCAGCATGGCACAAGCATCGCTGGAGTAGCCTGTAGCCTACCAAGGTTTTCGGTCTCGGGGTGCTGGAAGACTGAAGCTCTTGTCCGGACAAACTACCCGTTGCTGTAGCCTTCGTCTAAAGCCGGCACGGTAAACCCAAAAACCCTCAACCGCTAGACCCCCCAACTTTGAAACCTCAACCCGAAACCCCAAGGCCTACGCGCAAGCCCTCATCCACAAACCCTAAAATGCAGACCCCATTGTAGGAGCCTCACAACACCCTTACAACCTTGAACCCTCAACCACCCTGTACAACCCTCATAGCATCCTTTCGAGCTTTGAACAGCCCAAATATGCGCCCATCATCGCTGGCACAAGGCGACATATCTTTGAGTAGGAAACTACCATTCCCAAGGCTAGTCGCAGCCCCCGCGTCCCCACTCCTTAAAACAGAAGGACAACCCCAGTACCATTATAGTAGGTACTTCATAGGCATTTGGGCGCCAAAACTATACTGTTAACCATTACTTGGGACCCTTTGGGAACGGCCTTGCCACTCCATGTGCCAGGCTTGCAGGAGATGCAGGCGTCGAAGTCGGAGGACCCCGCCTCGAAAACCAGAGCTTAGGGCCCACTTGAGCTGCCTTTTGGAGTTTGTAGAGTCTTAGTAGGGACTCTACATGAGTCTTGTCGTGCCGCTTGGGATCAACGGTCAAGATCCAATTTTAGGGTTCTTGGTCTAAGGTTGAAGCTTCAGGGTCGAGGGTTAGGGGCTTTCGGGTCTGGGGGGGTACAAAAAAAATAGGGTCTATGGGCTTTAGAGGGTCTGAGGGATGGTCTAGGATTTATCAGAGTTTGGGCATCTTTTACCAAAGCTCATAGCGGGTATGCCGCACAAACCCAGTATCTTGCAAAGAACATGGTGCCGTGGGACATAAAGGCTACGAGGATGGATGATGACTCTTTGCTGTGGTGATGGTTGCATTGGTTGTCGTCACAACCGTTCTCGTCTTCGTGGATGCATCAGCAGACCCTGAACCCGAAACCCCACTGCACCCCTGACGCAGGGACCTTCTCGTTGTAGCGGCCAGCCTAAACCCTAAACCCTAAAACCTAAACCCCTAAAATCCTAAAACCCTAAACCCCTAAACCCTAAAAAAGCAGGGACCTTCTCGCTGTAGCGGCCAGCCGTGCAGGCCACACAGACGGTTTCCGTCACGGCGGCAATTTGCGGGCTCCACCTGCCGGCCTCCGAGGCTGGCTTAATGTGGGTAGTTCTCCAACTTGGGGTCCTTTTGTACGTGCCCAATATGGTACAGCACCCTTATAAAAAGGACCCTAAAAGGGACCCGGATTTAGAGAACTGCCCATATAGAGGCATTAAGAAGCCTTGCACAAACGCCCCCTAGAAGAACAGCACAAAACAAATCTTCACTAGAGCCCTACCAAAACCAACAGAACTCTCACAATATGGGTTCCGTAGGTGCTTTTGCATTATAGGGTCGGATGAGGAGCCACAGATGTTTGTCGCACCTGCGGCTCGGCAGTCATGGTTCTCTGAGGAGCTCTCCCGCGATCCTCAAATAGTAGCCCTGTCTTAAAGCCTAACCCTAAGCCATCAACCCTCAAAACCCACATCTCTAAACCCTAATCTCCGAACCCTAAGCCTTAAACAAGCTCAATCTGACATTTGGGGTCCTGTAGTTTCTGAAGTCCCACCGTCCGTGGTTCTTGGATTTTGAGCCCAGCTTGAAGCCTGAGAGGAATGTTGCAGGATGCTTCAAGGGAACCCCCCAAATCCCACAAGGAACGGAGCGCCTCGCACTTAGTGCACACCCCGGCCGCCGTGGCACCGGCCATGCCGCTCCAAGTGCCGGGCTGGCACGCGGTGCACTTGGCCTCAGAAGGTTTTGGGCTCTTGAAACGGTTTCGTAGCGACCTCTGCTGAAACCGACAGCCCTAAACCCCTGAAATCCAAAAACCCTAAAGTTCCAAGACCATTTATGAACCCTTTAACTCGAATCTTGCTTGAAGCCACGGTACCAGAGAGTCCAGGCCGGAAGAGTTGCTCCAACGCCCGGCCGGGCACCTGAGCAGCCGTGTTCACAGGTTCGGGTTAAAGGAAAGTACAGGTAGGGAGTTTAAGGGAAACTACAGGTGGGGAGTTTAGGGTTTAGGAGTTTAGGGTTTAGGGTTTAGGGTTTACGGGTTTAGGGCTTAAGGAAACTACAGGTGGGGAGTTTAGGGTATATAGGGCTTCTAATAAGGCTT